AAAAGGATTTGACATAGAGTCATTAAACCTCATGGGCAGGTTGCTCAGCATATTTAGATTTGCACCTGGGGTTTCGCTTGTGGATTTATCCAGTATTTGTAGAGTTATTTCCGTTTACTTAGTAAAAAGATTGACAGTGGCGCGGTGGGGGCACCCGTGTCCTAAGGACACATTTCTAGTTTTGGCTATTATTGGCTGTAACTTTGTTATTTTTGAACGGATTGTCTTGAAACTTGAACATAATAATCTTCAAAGATAACTCTTAAAAATAACCCAACAGACCTTGACCTTCACTCATTAATGACATTGTCTTTAAAGGTCAAATTATTGAAATTTTCATTGTTTTGGCTGTAACTGACTGTAACTTTGCTATAATTGTAGGGATCAACTTCATATTATAACAGAACATTCTTAAGGACCAGACCTTGTTGTTTGTCAAACCCAAATTTGCTTGGGCTCTTTAATGACCTTGACCTTGAAGGTTAAATTACTGAATTTTCTCAGATTTGTGCATTAAATGACCAAAATTATATATTTATTGGTGTGAGTGTATATACATATCTATCATCATCATCATCAACAACATCAACGTAAATTGCGTGTTTCTATTTAAAGTGTGTTTGTATTTAAAGAATTGCGTGTTTCTGTTTTTAGAATTGCGTGTTTCTGTTTTTAGAATTGGGTGTTTCTATTTTTAGAATTGCGTGTTTCTATTTTTAGAGTTGCGTGTTTCTATTTTTAGAGTTGCGTGTTTCTATTTTTAGAATTGCGTGTTTCTATGTTTAGAATTGTGTTTCTATTTTTATGCCCCCACAAAGTGGGAGCATATAGCGTTGCACTTGTCCGTCCGTCTGTCCGTCCGTCCGTCCGTACGTCTGTCTGTCCGTACGTCCCGAAATCTTGTGAACGCAACTCCTCTTAAACCGGATGGCAGATTTTGCTTAAACTTACAGGGATGAACAACCTTAATGTGTAGATGGTAGTAAAGGAAGGAATTTTCGCTGCGACCAAATTTAACAGAATTATGGCCCTTTGTTGATTTTTTCACTATATACTATGTAGAAATTTTGTGAACGCAACTCCTCTTAAACCGGATGGCAGATTTTGCTTAAACTTCCAGGGATGAACAACCTTAATGTGTAGATGGCAATAAAGGAAGGAATTTTCGCTGTGACCAAATTTAACAGAATTATGGCCCTTTGTTGATTTTTTCATTATATACCATTTAGAAATTTTGTGAACGGAACTCCTCCTTAACCGGATAGCAGCAGATTTTGCTTAAACTTTCAATGATGAACAACCTTAATGTGTAGATGGTAGTAAAGGAGGGAATTTTCGCTGCGACCAAGTTTAACAGAATTATGGCCCTTTGTTAATTTTTTCACTATATACTATGTAGAAATTTTGTGAATGCAACTCCTTTTAAACCGGATGGCAGATTTTGCTTAAACTTACAGGGAAGAACAACCTAAATGTGTAGATGGTAGTAAAGGAAGGAATTTTTGCTGCGACCAAATTTAAGAGAATTATGGCCCTTTTTTGATTTTTTCACTATATACCATAAAGAAATTTTGTGAATGCAACTCCTCTTAAACCGGATGGCAGATTTTGCTTTAACTTCCAGGGATGAACAACCTTAATGTGTAGATGGTAGTAAAGGAAGGAATTTTTGCTGCGACCAAATTTAACAGAATTATGGCCCTTTGTTGATTTTTTTCACTATATACTATGTAGAAATTTTGTGAACGCATCTCCTCTTAAACCGGATGGCAGATTTTGCTTAAACTTCCAGGGATGAACAACCTTAATGTGTAGATGGTAGTAAAGGAAGGAATTTTTGCCACGACCAAATTTTACAGAATTATGGCCCTTTGTTGATTTTTAGTTTTCAACTTGTGGCACATGTAGTCTAAAAAATATTTGACCTAGAGTAATAAGATTGACAGAACAGTGGCGTGTGGGGGCATCCGTGTCCTATGGACACATTTCTAGTTAGAATTGCGTGTTTCTATTTTTAGAATTGCGTCTTTCTATTTTTAGAATTGCGTGTTTCTATTTTTAGAATTGTGTGTTGCTATTTTTAGAATTGCATGTTTCTATTTTTAGAAATTGCCTGTTTCTATTTTTAAAATTGCGTGTTACTATTTATAGAATTGTGTGTTACTATTTTTAGAATTGTGTGTTTCTATTTTTAGAAATTGCGTTTTACTATTCATAGAAATTGCATGTTTCTATTTTTAGAATTGCGTGTTTCTATTTTTAGAATTGCGTGTTACTATTTATAGAATTGCATGTTTCTATTTTTAGAATTGCTTGTTTCTATTTTAAGAATTGCGTGTTACTATTTTTAGAATTGCGTGTTACTATTTTTAGAATTGCGTGTTACTATTTATAGAAATAGCTTGTTACTAGTTATAGAAATTGTTTGTTACTATTTTTAGAATTGAGTGTTACTATTTTTAGAATTGCGTGTTTCTATTTTTAGAAATTGCGTTTTACTATTTATAGAATTGCATCTTACTATTTTTGTGTCGCCTTGAAAAGGTGACATATAGGGGTTACTTTTGTCGGCGGTGTCGGCGGCGGCGGCGTCTGTGTCGGCGTCGTTGTCGGCGTCCGCTAAAGCTTGTCCGGAGCATAACTCAGTCAGTATAAGTCTGATTGACTTCAATCTTGGTATGCATGCTTCTTTCAATAACCCGAAGTGCAGTGCACAATGACCGGTACTCTGCAGTTCTTATTTTTTGAGTTATTGCCCTTTGTTAATTTTCATACTTTAATTTTGTCCGGGCCATTTCTCTTCAACTAAAAAGCTATGGACTTGAAACTTCATAGGATGATAGATCTCATTAAGAAGAAATACAGTGCACAAGAACCAGTACTCTGCACTTCCTAATTTTTGAGTAATTGCCCTTTGTTAATTTTCATACTTTATTTTTGTCCGGACCATTTCTCCTAATGTATAAAAGCCATGGACTTGAAACTTCATAGGATGATAGATCTCATTAAAAAGAAGTGCAGTGCATAAGAACTGATACTCAGCATTTCTTATTTTTGAGTTATTGCCCTTTGTTGCTTTTCTTACTTTATTTTTGTCCTGGTCATTTTTCCTCAAGTATGAAAGCTATGGACTTGAAACATCATAGAATGATAGATCTTATTGATAAGAAGTGCAGTGTACAGAAACTGCTGCTCTGCACTTATTATTTTTTTAGTTATTGCCCTTTGTTATTTTTCATATTTCATTTTTGTCCTGGCCATTTCCCCTAAACTACATTGTTCACAAGGCGACACATCCGACTCGCGGAGTTCTAGTTAGAATTGCGTGTTACTATTTATAGAATTGCGTGTTTCTATTTTTAGAATTGCATGTTACTATTTTTAGAATTGCATGTTACTATTTATAGAAATTGCGTGTTACTATTTTTAGAAATGCGTCTTTCTATTTTTAGAATTGCGTGTTTCTATGTTAAGAATTGCATGTTTCTATTTTTAAAATTGAGTGTTACTATTTGTAGACTTGCGTGTTTCTATTTTTAGAATTGCATGTTACTATTTTTAGAATTGCGTGTTTCTATTTGTAGAATTGCATGTTTCTATTTCTAGAATTGCGTGTTTCTATTTAAAGTATTGCGTGTTACTATTTTTAGAATTGCGTGTTTCTATTTATAGATTTGTGCTTTCTATAGAATTGCGTGTTTCTATTAATAGAATTGCTTGTTCTGTTTACAGAATTGCGTGTTACTATTTATAGAATGGTTTGTTACTATTTATAGAATTGCATGTTTCTATTTATAGAATTAAGTCTTTCTATTTATTGAATTGCATGTTTCTATTTATAGAATTGAGTGTTTCTATTTATAGAATTGCATGTTTCTGGTGCCATTAGTTTTATCTGATCTCTGTTATATAGTGAGATCTGCTTGTGAAATATTTGTGGATGCAGTATTTATTTATCCTAATTACCATACTGGTTAATGTATTTCACACATTAATATTACATAAATGAAAGAGCAATAATTATTATATACATGTATGTGTTTATTGTACACATAAACTTGTTTATAATAAGTAAATTGTAATTCTTAATTCCAATGTTATTAAATAAACATTATATATACATTTCTTTTCAGTATCTTTAGCAAGGTTTAAGTTATGCTAATAATAGAAAATTAATAAAATTTAACATTGAATTGAAAGCTCTTTTACAAATCTGTTTAAATAAGAAATTTGTAAAATACTTTGATAATTTCACTGATAATTAATCTAGAAGTTTGGAAAGTGTCACAATTTTATGTGACATATAAACACTTTTTTATTTAATAGATATCTAGTAACAATGATTATAAATAATTAAAATGATTAAAAAAAACAAAGAAAAACCCCAAAACATTCTGATCATCATTTATTTGAAAACTTTGTGTGATTATGATTAATTATGATACCTATATAGCCATTAATATATGTATTTTATGGCAACAATGATTTTTTTAAACTTTTTCCATGTTTTCACATTTAAATTTTTTAGCTGATTCCTCACAAAGAAATTGCTTCAGAAATTTCTAAGTACAAATATTTTGACAAGGAAGTTGGACATGGACAATGTCCATGCTGAAAATGGATATCCATGGACCAAATGCCTCCTTTCCATACTGTTCTGCATGGACCAACCATGGACTTTTGTCCAGGGCTTGAACTTATCCATGGATATCCATGGATTTCCATGCTCAGGCCATGCATGTCCATTCTCTGGCCATGGATTAAAACAGATATCCATGGACAATCTACAGCCAGGCATTTTGACCATATTACTGACTTTATGGAAAAAATGAAAAACATGCCTAGAGATATTGATGTCAAGGTAAACATAACATCAATTTAAATGATTTTACTATTATATTTAATCAAAATTGGAATATTAAAATTTGGTGGGACAGACTATAGTGATCTTACATACAAATACAGTATTCATATATAATATGTTTCTTATTTACATTTAGATGCACCAGATGTCACTGTAACTGTAAGTAGTCGGAATCCAACTGAGAACAACACCCTAACAGTTAAATGTGAAGCTAAAGGAAGGCCTGAAGATTATCATATCTTGTCAATTGTACATAAATTGGGAGATGTGGTTATATCTAAAGTACTTAATCCAACCAATGGTGTCATAGAAGTACAAAATGTTCAACTGCAAGATAGTGGTACTTATATTTGTGTTGCAAATAATGGCATTCGTGACAGGAACCAGAAGCTTGATCAAAGTGGAAACAACACTGTTAAAGTTAAAGGTTTGTGATTATTAAATTTAGCATAAAAGGAATTCTACTGGTTGTTGAAAGATTACTCAAATTTGAAACATGAATTCAAGGCCTCACAAATTGATTAAACATTTTCTGGATGTCCAAGATCTAAAGCTTTGTGTTTTCAAGAGCATGTGTTTTAAGTGAACACACTGTCTTGAACACTTAGTGATCATTCCATACAGACTGTACCTGTAGGGGGTTAAGGTGGCTTATGGGGTGGAAAAACATTGCTTATGGGGTTTTAGAGATAAGAAAAGATGAAGGATTCTAAGATTGCAGGAAGAACATCTGTCAGTCTAGTCTGATGGTTTCCAGATAATAAACCAGAGTTTGGAATGAGGCTATGTCATGAAGCTAGAAAAATAGTTTCTGGACAATAACTAGAGTTAGAAATGAGATATTGTAATCAAACTTAGTATATTGCAAGCTATGTGGATACCTCATTTTGGATCGGTTTAAACCCCTTAGGTTCAAGGTCAAGATCACTGTTACTGTACTTGGAAAAATTGTTTCTGTTGGATAACAGTAGTTAAGAAAAAAGTTTTTATTTTAAATTTAAAATGCTTGCAAAGCTGCATAACGCCATTAATAATGAGTTTAATAACCAGTGTTTTTTTTTCACTTTTGGGGGAAGGGGGTCGGTGCCCTTTGGAGGGGGAAAAATGCAATAGGAGGGGGAATTTTATTTCTTAACAAATGAGGAGAAACAAAAAAGAATTCAATGCATATTTTAATACACCACTTACCACTGGCACTGTAAAACATTGTTTTCTTTCCAGTAAGTAGAAAAGGGGAGCAACTCTTGCAATACAAGTTTAAAATACGTCTCTTTTTCTTAATATACGGATCTAAAATGGACAGAATTTAAAGCGTCGCATGTTAAATTTGTTGGGACGCCAGAAGTAGCTCCCCTTACCTACCCGGGAAAAATTTGTAAACAACTTTGCATAACAGTAAGTCTTACAGGCATGAAATAAAACAATTTTAGGCATTTATATGCAAAAAATGGTATTCATTGCAGGCAAATTTGGGGTGCCGTATGGAGGGAAATTGTGGCTTTGAGTTGAAAAAAAACACTTTTTTGAGGGGGGAATGGGGCCGAATTTCGCCGAATATTTTGGTGAAAAAAACCCACCGATAACAGGGAAACTCTAACTCTAAATTGTGTTTTGGGATGACATACTTGTATGCCAAATAGGAAGACAATTACTGAAATTATTCAAAAGTGAAGTTGCAGAAACCAATGATTTTAAAATTGCTTAAAAGGGGCATATTACTCTTAAAAATTAGTAAATTGCATTTGACTTTTGTTTTGATATAACATACATGTAGTAACATGCCAAAAATAAACACAATCACTGAAATGCTCCATAAATCAATTCATTCTGCTGAAACCAATTGTCATTGCACAGAATCTGTATGAAATTTTCCAGCTGTAAAATAGACGGATTTTTTTTTATTTTACGCCCGTACAAAAGAAAATTCGTCTTATGCTTTTTCTAATATTATAGAATAAATTTCGCCTGGAATACGGTTTTACGCACGTAAACCAGCCGTAAATGGCACGGAATCCGGGCGTACAAATGACACGTAATATTTAAATGAGCAGGAATTCAAAAATAAAAATTACGCCTGTAAAAATTCCCTTTACAGCCGTATAAAATCCAGATTTGACGTCTATATTAAATTTACGCCCGTAAATTCCTTTTATGGGCGTACAAAATTCAAATTTTACGTCTATACTAATTTTTACGTCTGTCCTAAAAGTATGCTTTGATTTCTTTGCATCTGAAGAACAAGCTTGTCATCCTTGTTTAATTGTCACATGTTTCATAGAATCGTTTTTTTTCTGTTAGAGACAATAATTCTAAATCTCCTCATATAAGTAGATCTCATTTATGAGAAGTGCAATGCCATAACTCTTTATTGTATGATTTGGGGGTTATTTCCCTTTTGTACTTTTCCTTGCTTATTTTTTGCCTTAATCATACAACTTTAAAAGTATTGGAAATATTAATTTGAAACTTCACAGATGGATAGATCTTTTTGTGTTAAGTTCAGACTGTTTAAGAACCATATATTTACTATTTTGCATAATTTTGGAGTTACTGCATTTTTCACTTTTTCACTTTTAATTATTGTTAGCATAACATGAAAGGTGTAAGTACTGGTATCAGTTTATATAAATATTAAATGGACAAATCCCATTTAGAAGAAGAGACCAAGGTCAAACTTATTGAAGACTGACGTTAAATTTTCATAGGAGTAGCAACAAACTATATCCAGATGAATGCATTTTCTGGGCATAGAATAATATTTCAACTTTTTAATGTCTAGATTCCAACTAAAGAACCTTAGAGTACACTTTTACAGCCGTAATTTTATTTTACGGGCGTAAAATGGAACTTAAGCATTTTTGATTCACTTTTTCAACACCTCAAAATTCTAAGTCAAATTTTACGTCCGTAAAGAAAAGTACAGCCGTAAAAAATAGAAAATTACGGCCATACTTTTCATGTTTTTCCTGCTCTTAAAAAATTACGTGTGTTTTACACCTGGAAAAGTGGTTTTACGTCCAATTTCCGTGTCTTTTCCTGCTACTTTACGGCCCGAATTTTCGTACGGGAAGGACATGCAACTGGAATGGGATTAGGGGTCATTTCTTGTTATTATACCCCACTTACACTAAGAAAAATTGAGCGTGCTAGTTTTTCATGTCCCCAGGCATATAGTTAGTAAATAATTTAATTAAAAACATTTGTATTTAAAAAGAAAACTATTTGTAGCTCGACTATTTGAAGAATATGAGAGCTATTTTAGTCGCCCCGGCGTCGGCGTCTGCGTTGGTTAAAGTTTTTTGTAAGGTCAAATATCTCAATTATTACTTATTATTATGCCCCTTTTTAACTTACAAATTTTGGTTGAAGTTTTTTGTAAAGTCAAATATCTCAATTATTGCTTGAGATATTCAATTGAAACTTACAATACTTATTTACAGTAACAAGGTTCATCAGATTGACAAGTTGGATAACTCTGCCTACAATATTGACAGAATTATGCCCCTTTGGAACTTAGAAATTTTGGTTAAAGTTTTTTTGTAAAGTCAAATATCTCAATTATTGCTTGAGATATTCAATTGAAATTTAAAATACTTTTTTAAAGTAACAATGTACATCAGTTTGCAAAATTGCATAACTCTGCCTGCAATATTTGCAGAATTATTTGCCCCTTTGAAACTTAGAAATTTGGGTTAAAGGTTAAAGGTCTTCAAAGATATTTACTTGAAACTTTACACATGCACTTAGGGTCATAATTGGAGGGTCATAATTGTATGTCACTGACCAAGTTCCATAACTCTATTTTGCATTAAGGCTGATTCATATCCCCTTTTCTACTAAGTCTCTTGGTTAATGTTTACATGCAAGTTTTACATATCTCAATAACTATTAAAGATATTTATTTAAAACTTCACATATGCATTTAGGGTCATAATTGTAGGTCACTGACAAAGATCCATAATTCTATCTTGCATTTAGGCTGATTTTTCTCCCCCTTTTCAACTTAGAAATTCATGGTAAAATTGTTTGTGCCTCTTTTGGGACAATTTTATGCATTCATAATAATAAAGCAGTGATTAACTTGATAAAACATCTTAATAACAAGCCTTTGTACATTTTCTGTCAAATTTATGTATTCATAGGTAATTAGTATTATTATACTCAATAAAACACCCTTGTGACATTACATTCCGAATAGTCAAGCCAATACTGTATAATTAGACTCTCTCTAAGGCCTATAACACGAATTTATAAAAAAAAATTAGCCCTTTTGTGAACTTAAAAAAATTAACATTATCAAGGCTCTTTTACTATCAAGCACTTAGAATAGTCGAGCGTGCTGTCCTACCGACAGCTCTTGTTTTTTAGAAGATAACTGTTAATGTTTATTATAGTATTGTTAAAATAACAAAGATAATGCCGCTATTAATTATACTTAAACGGTGTATTATTGAATTAACAAAAATGAAGCAGTGATGTTGAAATAAGTTGAAAGTACTCATTCCAGATGTGATTAACAAGATCAGTTTTATTGACTTTATTGTCCCCTGCCTTTTCGAAGAAAAAAAGGGGGATATAGAAATAGGCTCTGTCCGTCTGTCCGGCTGTCTGTCCGCACTACCGAATAGGGATAGGGGGGCATCAAACTGTTAACAGAACAAAAGAGAACAATATAGTTCATTCCGTTACAATAGAGTAAGGGGCCATTGGCCCTCTTTTAAACAATAGAAAATTAACAAAAAAATGGCCCTTATTCCATTTTGGCCTGACGTCCATCCGTACAAACCCAGAGGTACTTGTGTGACTTGGAGAACAATAGGTAACAGCAAATTCTCTTTGGTCCTATTCATTCCGTTTTTACTTGTGTTTCTTTTAAGCCTTGTGTGACTAAAATGGCTAAAAAGATCAAAGGAAAAGTCACATAAGTACCATTTTGTAAGTCCGTCTGTCCGTCACACTTTTGTGTCCGGTCCATAACTTTATCATTTATCAAGGGAATTTGAAATAACGTGGCAAAAATGTTTGTTATGATAAGACGATGTGTCATGCGCAACAACTAGACCCCTACCTCCAGGGTCAAGGTCGCACTTGCTCATTCAAGGTCAACATTGTCTATTTAAGGGTAAATGTCGTGTCCGGTCCATTAATTTTCTTATCTTTGAAGGGATTTTGTAAATATTTGCCACAGTTGTTCACAATAATAAGATGATGTGTCCTGCACAACAACCGGTCACCTACCTCTAAGGTCAAGGTCACACTTAGAGGTAAAAATTTAACTTAGTCTGTTATAATTTATATTTTGTGTTCCGTAACTTTTTCATAGATCAAAGGATTTTGAAAATACTTGGCACAAATAGTTCCTATAATAAGATGATGTGTCATGCACAACACCTGCATCCCTACTGCCAAGTTCAAGGTCACACTTAGCGATCAAAAATTAACATAGTCTGTTATAGGGTATATTTTGTGTCCAATCTAGAACTTCTTCATAGGTCAAGGGATTTTGAAATAACTTGGCACAAATAGTCACAATAATAAGACGATATGTCAAGTACAACACCTGCACCCGTACCTCCTAGGTCAAGGTCACACTTAGAGGTCAAAGGTTAACAGAGACTGTTATATGGTATATTTTGTGTCCTGTCCATAACTTCTTCATAGATCAAGGGATTTTGAAAATACTTGACACAAATAGTCACAATGATAAGATTATATGTCACACATGACACCTGTGTCCCTACCTCCAAGGTCAGGGTCACACTTACATTTCAAAGATTTACATAGTCTGTTATAGGGTATATTTTGTGTCCAGTCCATAACTTTTTCATAGATCAAGGGATTTTAAAAATACTTTGCAGAAGTTATAACAATAATAAGACGATATGTCAGGCGCAAAACATAGGTCCCTACCTCCAAGGCCACACTGAAAGGTAAAAGATTAACATAATCTGTTATAAAGTATATTTTGTGTCATCTATAACTTCTTCATAGTTCATAGTTGAAATACTTGGCCCAAATAGTAACAATCATAAGACGATATGTCATGCACAACACCTGCACCCCTACCCCAAGGTCAAGGTCACACTAAGAAGTCAAAGCTTAACATGATATATTTTTAAAATCTGTGTTTGATTTGATTTCTTTAACAAATTTATTGTTGCATTTGCAGATCTAGCATTGATCATTATTTTGGACTGAAAGTCCTGAGATCCATACCTCTTTTTAGCTCACCTGTCACAAAGTGACAGTGTGAGTTTTTGTGATCGCTTTTCGTCTGGCGTCCGGCGGTCGTCTGGCGTCCGTCCGTAAACTTTTACTTTAAAGGACATCTCCTCATAAACCACTGAGCCAATTTCATCCAAACTTCACAGAAATGGTCCTTTGGTGGTCACCTTTAAAAATTGTTTAAAGAATTTAATTCCATGCAGAACTCTGGTTGCCATGGCAAACGAAAGATAAATCTTTAAATATCTTCTTTTAAAAAACCCAAAGAGCTAGAGCTTAGATATTTGGCATGAAACATCTTCTAGTGAGTGTCTACCAAGTTTGTTCAAATAAAAGCCCTGGGGTCTAAATTGGCCCCGCCCCAGGGGGTCATTGATTATCCTTATATGCATATAGTAAAAACTTAAAAAGTCTTCTTTTAAAGAACCCATAGAGCTAGAGCTGAGATATTTAGCATGAAACATCTTCTAATAAGTGTCCACCAAGTTTGTTCAAATGAAAGCCCTGGGGTCAAAATTGGCCCCGCCCCAGGGGGTCATTGATTTTTCCTATATGCATATAGTAAAAACTTAAAAAATCCTCTTTTAAAGAACCCAAAGAGCTAGAGCTAAGATATTTAGCATGAAACATGTTCTAATGGGTGTTTACAAAGTTTGTTCAAATAAAAGCCCTGGGGTCAAAATTGGCCCGCCCCGGGGGTCATTAATTTTCCATATATGTTTATAGCAAAAACATAAAAAATCTTCTTTGAAAAAACCCAAATAGCTAGAGTTTAGATATTAAGCATGAAACATCTTCTAGTGAGTGTCTAAAAAGTTTGTTCAAATAAAAGCCCTGGGGTCAAAATTGGCCCCGCCCCGAGGGTCATTGATTTTCCTTATATGTGTATGGCAAAAACTTAAAAATATTCTTTGAAAAAACCCATATAGCTAGTTTAGATATTAAGCATGAAACATCTTCTAGTAAGTGTCTACACAGTTTGTTCAAATTAAAGCCCTGGGGTTTAAACTGGCCCCACCCCAGAGGTGTTATTGTTTTTAACTATATGTGTATAGTAAAAACTTAAAAAATCTTCTTTTAAAAAAACCCAATGAGCTTCAGATTAGATTTTAAACAGGAAACATCTTTTTGTTGGTGTTTACCAAGTTTGTTCAAATAAAAGCCCTTGGGTTTAAATAGGCCCTGCCAAGGGGGGGGGGGGGGGGGGCGGAGGTCATTATTTTTCATTATATGTGTGTAGTAAAAACTTAACATCATGAAACATCTTCTAATGGGTGTCTTCCAAGTTTGTTCAAATAAAAGCCCTGGGGTTTAAACTGGCCACGCTCTGGGGGCCTATATACAGGTGAGCGACCTCAGGGCCATCATGGCCCTCTTGTTTGAAATGGCCATTAATATGCTGCATATAAAACTTCCCTTAGGCGGGGGACGTTGGTAACTCTGTTACAAATTCTTGTTATTTATTGAAATGCATAATGAATGTTTATTTTATGTTTCAGTTTCACCAAAGTTGCTTTTAAAAATTGGCGACAGAATATTTGCTGGAGCTCCTAAGACCACAGTCAATATTACAGCACCATTTTACAGTGACCCTCCACCTCAAGCTGTACAATTCAAATTTCAAAATGGCACTTTAATAACAAACTCTAGCAAACATACAGTGTCAGTCTTTAAAGGAAACGTTAAGGACATGTTTAATGGAAAAGAAGTGGAGCTAGATGGTTACTTTGCTCAGCTTCAGATAAAGAATGAGGAAGAATCAGATTTTGTTAACTACACCTTGGTTATTGATAATGGGATTGGATCTTATAAATCATGGATTTTGAAACATGTCTCCCAAAGTATGATTTTTATCTTTCAACTCTTCGTAATATCTATACATAATTTCATGAGATATAAAAATATATTTACGTAAAGCAATATAACCAGCTGAATGGATTGTGGCATATGTAAGACTCAAATAATTTTTAATCATGTAACAATTTAGATCACTAAGATTGAGTTGAAAAATCCAGTCAGTCATTTTTTGTCATAGCATGTTCCAGGTTGATGTACAATTATATTATTTTCACAATTACTACTCACATAGTGATTTCAATGGTGTTTACTTATATTTTTAGAGACATTTTATGGATTATATGAGCTTTTAATATTGATAGTTCGCCTTTTGTGATTCCATTATTGTCTATTCTCCACATTTGTTTGTCTGCTTGTCAGTAGTTTCAGTGTTAATATTTAAGTGACTTAGGTTTTTACAGAACTTGCTCTGCTTTAATCATTTTGGACTGCTAAATGTACCTTGACAATATGTATTAACTGTCTTGAACCAATATTTGCCTTGCCTAAGAGTCCTTCAGTTTTATATGAGCTCGAACAAAAAATCAGAAATTATAAACCTTGTTGGTAGCACAAACCAAGTTAATGGCCTGGTAGACATGTACTAATTTCAGTCAAATCATGACTGTTTGGATCAAAATTGGAAAAGTCATTAAACTCTTGTTTGCTACAAATAAGTTTTCATACTTTTTACAAATAAGCTTTCATACTTTCTACCACAAAGCCCTTATTTTAATGAATATACTTAAAAGTGCTAATGTTAGATTTGAAAGGGCGGTTGGAAAAGGCTTGAAGATCTCAACAAAGTTAACACTTAAGAAGTCTGTGTAACATGACTATTTAGTTGTCATTATAAGTTGTGTGTTGCATGGCGGTGTTTAAAACTTAACTTGTGTCATCGAGATCAGGTGGGCTTCAAACATTCGTCACTTCTGTAACGGCTTTAGTCGAAATATTATTTTTAGCTCAACTGTTTGCAGTTTTTGCGTGTAAGCAAGTATCTCCATAACTACTGAAGGAAATAGATTGAAACTTCACACACTTGTTCTCTGTGATTATTTAACATGATTGGCACAAGTCCTATAACTCTGATTTGCCTTTCTTGCATAATTATGCCCCTTTCTTGACTTAAACATTTTTGGCTAAGTTTTTGGTTGTAAGCAAGTATCACCATAACTACTGAAGGGAATGGATTGAAACTTCACACACTTACTCTCTCTGATTATCTAACTTGATTGGCACAATTTCCATAACTCTGATTTGTTTTTTTAGCTCACCTGTCATAAAGTGACAGGGTGAGCTTTTGTGATCGCTTTTAGTCCGTCGTCCGTCCGTCGTCCGTAAACTTTTACTTTAAATGACATCTCCTCATAAACCACAAAGCCAATTTCATCCAAACTTCACAGGAATGTTCCTTTGGTGGTAACCTTTGAAAATTGTTCAAAGAATTTAATTCCATGCAGAACTCTGGTTGCCATGGCAACCAAAAGAAAAAACTTAAAATATCTTCTTCTAAAAAACCCAAAGAGCTAGAGCTTAGATTTTTGGCATGAAACATCTTCTGGTGAGTGTCTACCAAGTTTGTTCAAATAAAAGCCCTTGGATCAAAATTGGCCCCGCCCCAGGGAGTCCTATATGCATATATTAAAAACTTAAAAATCTTCTTTTAAAGAACCAAAAGAGCTAGAGCTAAGATATTTTTAGAGCTAAGATATTTAGCATGAAACATCTTCTAATGGATGTCTACCAAGTTTGTTCAAATAAGGGGTCTGGGGTCAAAATTGGCCCCGCCCCAGGGGGTCATTGATTTTCCCTATATACATATAGTAAAAACTTAAAAAATCTTCTTTTAAAGAACCCAAAGAGCTAGAGCTAAGATATTTAGCATGAAACATCTTCTTATGGGTGTCTACCAAGTTTGTTCTAAATAAAAGCCCTGGGGTCAAAATTGGCCCCGCCCCAGGGGGTCATTGATTTTCCCTATATGCATATAGTAAAAACTTAAAAAATCTTCATTTAAAGAACCAATAGAGCTAGAGCTAAGATATTTAGCATGAAACATCTTCTAATGGATGTCTACCAAGTTTGTACAAATAAAAGCCCTGGGGTCAAAATTGGCCCTGCCCTGGAGGTCATTCATTTTCCCTATATGTGTAAAACTATAGCAAAAATTGAAAAATCTTCTTTGAAAAAAACTCAAATAGCAAGAGTTTAGATATTAAGCATGAAGCATCTTCTAGTGAGTGTCTTCAAAGTGTGTTCAAATAGAAGCCCTGGAGTCAAAATTGGCCCCGCCCCGGGGGACATTGATTTTCCTTATACAAGAATAGCAAAAACTTAAAAATCTTCTTTTAAAAAAACCCGAATAGCTAGAGTTTAGATATTTAGCATGAAACTTTTTCTAGTAAGTGTCTACAAAGATTGTTCAAATAAAAGCCCTGGGGTCAAAACTGGCCCTGCCCCAGGTGTGACATTGTTTTTAACTATATGTGTAAAGAAAAAACTTAAAAAAAATCTTCTGTTAAAAATCCCAACGAGCTAGACCTTAGATGTTTAGCATGAAATATCTTCTAATGGTTGTCTACAAAGTTTGTTCAAATAAAAGCCCCGGGCTTTAAACTGGCCTTGCTCTGGGGGCCTATGTACAGGTGAGCGACTTCAGGGCCATCATGGCCCTCTTGTTTCATAATTATGCCTCTTTTTCAAATAGTCGAACATCGCTGTCTTCCGAAGTTCTTGTTTATTTCTCAAATAAATCTTTGTTAGGACATTTATAGCCCCACCTTATATAAGCTTGGTCCTTGTTACAATTATTTGGTACTTTTTAGGTCTTTTATTTTCTTGCATAGTTGCAGATGTTATAAACACTGGTCATAGCAAAAAAATGTTTCTGTATTTTATGATATTTTCCCCTTTGATTTTTTTTTGTTTTCATAAGATACTGTTAAGGCCCATTATATACAAGAAATGGTTTAATTTTTAATTCTCCAAAAGCATTTTAATAATACCCAACCAAACAAAGTTTAGAGGGGTATATAGGAGTCACTCGGTGGTCGAATGGTCGGTCGGTCCAGCTGTTTGTTGCATTTTCCTTGTCCGGAGCATAACTTGAAGACTGATGGTTGGAATTCAATACAACTTCATACAATGGTCAAGCTCATTTAGAGGATTTGTAGTGCACAATAACCATAACTCCGTCTTCACTAATTACATAGTAATTGCCCATTGTTACTTTTCCTTGTCCAGAGCATAACTTGAAAACTACTGGTTGGAATTCAAAACAACTTCATACAATGGTCAAACGCAATGTCGGGAAGTGCAATGCACAAGAACCATAACTCTATCTAAATTAATTACAGAGTTATTGCCCTTTGTTACTTTTCCATTTTTTTATATTTGTCCGAACCATAACTTGAAGACTAATGGTTTGAATTCAATATAACTTCATACAATGGTCATGCACATTGAGAGGAAGTGCAGTGCTTAAGAACCATAACTTCATTTTGACTAATCACAGAGTTATTGCCCTTTATTTTTTTTCCATTGCTTTTTTTTGTTCGGAGAAGAACTTGAAGACTTATGTTTGGAATTCAATACAACTTCATTCAATGATCAAGGACATTAAGAGGAAGTGCAGTGCACAGGAACAATAACTCAATCTTGACTTTTTACAGAGATATTGTCCTTTGTTACTTTTCCTTGTCTGGAGCATAACTTGAAAACTACTAGTTGGAATTCACCGCCTCCGTGGTCGAGGGGTTAGAGTCGATGACTTCTAATCCAGTTACCTCTCTGGCGTGGGTTCGATCCCCGGGAGATGCTTTGGTAGTTTAGCGCGGAGGAAAGTAGTCTAGTACTGGTGTAACTCTCCAGGAACGATGGTTAGGAAACCTATATGACTGAAATACTGTTAGAAAAGGCGTAAAATCAAACAAACAAACAAACTAGTTGGAATTCAATACAACTTCATACAATCGTCAAGCACATTTAGAGGAATTGCAGTGCACAAGAACACTAACACCATTTTGACAAACTACAGAGTTATTGCCCTTTGATACTTTTCCTGGTCAGGAGCATAACTTTAAAAGTAATGGTTTGAATTCAGAACAACTTCATACATTGTCAAGCACAATAAGAGGAAGTGCAGTGCACAAGAACAATAACTCCATCTTGACTAATTACAGAGTAATTGCCCTTTGTTACTTTTTCTTGTACTTGAAAACTACTTGTTGGAATTCAATACAACTTCATACAATCATCAAGCACATTAGAGGAATTGAAGTGAACAAGAACAATAGCTCAATCTTGACGTATTACAGAGTTATTGCCCTTTGTTACTTTTCCATTGCTTTTTTTTGTCTGGATAATTACTTGAAGACTTATGTTTGGAATTCAATACAACTTTATAAAATGTTCAACGACATTGAGAGGAAGTGCAGTGCACACGAACAATAACTCAATCTTGACTAATTAGCTAGTTATTGCCCTTTGTTACTTTTCCTTATCTGGAGCATAACTTGAAAACTTCAAGTTTGAATTCAATACAACTTCATACAATCATCAAGCACATTAAGAGGAATTGCAGTGCACAAGAACACTTACACCATTTTGACAAATTACAGAGTTATTGCCCTTTGATACTTTTCCGTGTCTGGAGCGTAACTTGTAAAGTACTGGTTTGAATTCAAAAAAACTTCGTACAATGGTCAAGCACAATAAGAGGAAGTGCAGTGCACAAGAACAATAACTCCATCTTGACTTATTACAGAGTTATTGCCCTTTGTACTTTTCCTTGTCCTTAGCATTACTTTAAAACTACTAGTTGGAATTCAATACAAATTCATACAATCGTCAAGCACATTAAGAGGAATTGAAGTGCACAAGAACATTAACACCAGTTTGACAAATTACAGAGTTATTGCACTTTGATACTTTTCCTTGTCCGGAGCATAACTTGTAAAGTACTGGTTTGAATTCCAAAAAACTTCATACAATGGTCAAGCACAATAAGAGGAAGTGCAGTGCACAAGAACAATAACTCCATCTTGACTAATTACAGAGTGATTGCCCATTGTTACTTTTCCTTGTCCGGAACATTACTTCAAAACTACGAGTTGGAATTCAATACAACTTCATACAATCGTCAAGCACATTGAGAGGAATTGGAGTGCACAAGAACAATAACTCAATCTTGACTTTCTACAGAGTAATTGCATTTTGTTACTTTTCCTTGTCTGGAGCATAACTTGAAAACTACTAGTTGGAATTCAAAACAACTTCATACAATGGTCAAGCACAATAAGAGGAAGTGCAGTGCACAAGAACAACAACTCCATCTTGACTTATTACAGAGTTATTGCCCTTTGTTACTTTTCCTTGTCCGTAGCATTACTTTAAAACTACGAGTTGGAATTCAATACAACTTCATACAATCGTCAAGCATATTGAGAGGAATTGAAGTGCACAAGAACAATAACTTAATCTTGACTTTCTACAAAGTAATTGCCTTTTGTTACTTTTCCTTGTCTGAAGCATAACTTTAAAACTACTAGTTGGAATTCAAAACAACTTCATACAATGGTCAAGCACAATAAGAGGAAGTGCAGTGCACAAGAACAACAACTCCATCTTGACTTATTACAGAGTTATTGCCCTTTGTTACTTTTCCTTGTCCGTAGCATTACTTTAAAACTACGAGTTGGAATTCAATACAAATTCATACAATCGTCAAGCACATTAAGAGGAAGTGCAGTGCACAAGAACAATAACTCCTTCTTGACTCATTACAGACTAATTGCCCTTTGTTACTTTTCCTTGTCCGGAACATTACTTCAAAACTACGAGTTGGAATTCAATACAACTTCATACAATCGTCAAGCATATTGAGAGGAATTGAAGTGCACAAGAACAATAACTTAATCTTGACTTTCTACAAAGTAATTGCCTTTTGTTACTTTTCCTTGTCTGAAGCATAACTTGAAAACTACTAGTTGGAATTCAAAACAACTTCATACAATGGTCAAGCACAATTATAGGAAGTGCAGTGCACAAGAACCATAACTCTATTCAGAGTAATTATAGAGTTATTGCCCTTTGTTACTTTTCCATTGTTTTTTTCTTGTCCAGAGCATACCTTGAAAACTAAAATACAGTTTCATACAATGGTCAAGTATATTGAGAGAAAGCACAGTGCACAGAAACTATAACTCTTTGTTGACACATTTAATAGTTTTTTGACCTTTTTTACATTTTTATTGTCCAGTGCATACCTTGAAAATTAATGGTTGGAATTCAAAGAAACTTTACACAATGGTCAAGGGCAGTGAGATGAAGTGCAGTGAAGAGAAAACATAACTCTATTTGTACTAATATCAGTAATTGCCCTTTGTTACTTTTTTGTCCATTGCTTAACTTGAAAACTAGTATTTGGAATTCAATACAATTTCATTCAATGGTCAAGTGAAATGAGAGGAAGTGCAGTGCTCAAGAAGGCAAGTGTAACTTATTTTGGACTTATTACAGAGTAATTCAATAAAACTTCATCAATGGTCAACCACATTGAAAGGAAATGCAACATACAAGAGCCACAACTATCTTGAATTGCCCACAACCACTTGCGCACAACCATAACTCTATTTCAGTTCTTTTGCAAGGTATTCTGTTACTAGTAACTTCCTGATTTCTGAAGCAGTCTTGCGGAAGTATCAATCACATTAAGTGATAGTTCTAGTTTTGGTTTACTTTTTAGTATATAAAAAGTTAATCATTCGTCAATAACCATTAAGATCTTAATCATCTGTTGCTAATTGACAAAAAGCACAGTTATAGTGACTTAGTTTTATATGGCAGTCAAACTACTCCTTTGTTTACATTTTGCTACTTTAATGAATTAGTTTTATATGGAAGTCAAAATGCTACTTTTATTACAAATTATTTAACATTTATTGCTAATTTTTCAGGTAACAAGAATCAAATATTTCTCTAAAACCATTTTTGTGTCGCCTCTACGGAGTAGTGGCGACATATGGGGATCACTTCTCCATCGTCTGTCTGTCCCTCTGTTCGTCTGTCTGTCCGTCCGTCACAAAACTTGTCATGACTAATCCTCATAAACTACGGGTGCAATTTCATCCAAACTTTACAGGAATGATCAGTACCAAGTCTAGTTGTGCATATTGTCAGCATTTTCCGGTTCAGTGATTTTTGCCAGAGTTATGGCCCTTTAATAATTTTTATTTTTAAAGTTTGTCCGGACTACTTCTCTTATACCACCAATGCAATTTCAATGAAACTTAACAGGATTGATCTGTAGCTCAAATCCTTGCGCATATTGCACGGATTTTCCGGTTGAATGATTTTTGGCCGAGTTATGGCCCTTTGATAAAAAGGTGTTTTTTTCTGTGTGTTGCCAGATAGACAAAAGCTTGTCCGGACTACTCCTCATAAACTACTTGTGCAATTTCATCCAAACTTTACAGGAATGATCAGTACCAAGTCTAGTTGTGCATATTGTCAGAATTTTCCGGTTCAATGATTTTTGTTAGAGTTATGGCCCTTTAATAATTATTATTTTTAAAGTTTGTCCAGACTACTTCTCTTATACCACCAATGCAATTTCAATGAAACTTTACAGGATTGATCTGTAGCTCAAGTCTTTGCGCATATTGCACGGGTTTTCCGGTTATGATTTTTGGCCGAGTTATGGCCCTTTGATAAAAAGGTGTCTTTTCTGTGTGTTGCCAGATACACAAAAGCTTGTCTGGACTACTCCTCATAAACAACTAATGCAATTTTATCCAAACTTTACAGGAATGATCAGTACCAAGTCTAGATGTGCACTGTCCGTCTGTCTGTCTGTCTGACTGTCACAAAACTTGTCCCAACATGAAATTGGCCATCATGAGGCGACACATGTGATCACTGATCGCTCTTGTTTAAATAATATAAAATTCATGTTCGCCCTTTCTAAAGAAGAAAAATATATTTGTTTGTAAGGCATATTGTGCCGTTAAGCTGTGTTCCATATGGTAGAAATTGATATTTCCTGACTCAAAATTGGGAGGCTAAAACCAGTTCTTAAACTTAAGGCTGTGATGGTGATAAGCATTTGTCCATACTGGTGCTTTTGTTGATAAACAGACAGAAAGCTATTTAAAATGAAGCTATATTGTGACACTCAATTTAAAGATGCTATAAGGCCATGTTTTAACAATATTCTTTAACTTCATTTCAGGTAAACCGTCAATTCCTAAATATTTCAATTTCACCGGCCTTAAAGATGGAATACCAACATTTCTTTTAGTCGGTGATTTCAACGGAGGACTTCTCCAAACATTTGTTATAGAAACAACTGAAGTTGGAAAAAACAACTGGGTGGAGAGACTTAAATTTAATGAAACTGATACAGCATTTCTTCAGGCCGAGAAACTTACCTTTACTTTTAACATAAGCGGATTGCAACCTAATATATATGATGCTAGAGTACGCACTGGAAATGGTATTGGCTGGATAAATGAAACAGATGCCCTAACTGTCCAGTTTATAATAACAGGTCTTGATGTTTATTATTTTTAGCTCACCTGTCAAAAAGTGACATGGTGAGCTTTTGTGATCACTTTTTGTTCGCCATCTGTCTTCCGTCCTTAAAACTTTTACTTTAAATAACATCTCCTCATAAACCCCTTAGCCAATGTCATCCAATCTTCACAGGAATGTACCTTTGGTAGTCAACTTCAAAAATTGTTTAAAGAATTTAAGTAATAGTCTCAATCCGTCTGTTCGTCCATCCATCCTTCCGTCCATATTTTTGTCATTGAGATATCAACATGAAACTTCATAGTTGGAGGAGGAGTGCAGTGCACAAGAATGCTAACCCTGCATAATTTTTAGCTCACCTGTCACTTTGTGAAACCTGAAACGACTTAGGCAATTTCATCCAAACTTCACAGGAATGTTCCTTTGGTGGTCACCTTTGAAAATTGTTCAAAGAATTTAATTCCATGTAGAACTCTGGTTGCCATGGCAACAAAAAGAAAAAACTTTAATTATCTTCTTCTAAATAACCCAAAGATCTAGAGCTTAGATATTTGGCATGAAACATCTTCTAGTAAGTGTCTACCACGTTTGTTCAAATAAAAGCCCTGGGGTCAAAATTGGCCCCGCCCCAGGGGGTCATTGATTTTTCAGATATATATATATATATATAGATATATATATATAGTAAAAATCTTCTTTTATAGAACCAAAAGAGCTAGAGCTATGATATTTAAGATGAAATATGTTCTAATGGAAGTCTACCAAGTTTGTTCAAATAAGAGCCCTGGTGTCAAAATTGGTCCCGCCCTGGGGGACATTGATTTTCCTTATATGTGTATAGCAAAAACTTAATATAAACTTAATATACTTTATATATATATACAAATCTTCTTCGAAAAAACCTGAATAGCTAGAGTTAAGATATTAAGCATGAAACATCTTCTAGTAAGTGGCTACAAAGATTGTTCAAATAAAAGCAATGGGGTCAAAACTGGCCCTGCCTCAGGGGTGTCATTGTTTTAAATATATATGTAATCTTCTTTTAAAAAACCCAACGAGCTAGACCTTAGATGTTTAGCATGAAACATCTTCTATTGGGTGTCTACCAAGTTTGTTCAAATAAAAGCCCTTGGGTTTAAACTGGCCCCGGTTCGGGAGAGATTATATACAGGTGAGCGACTTCAGGGCCATTATGGCCCTCTTGTTCAGTTATTGCCCTTGGTTATTTTTCAAACTTAATTTTGTCAAGAGCATAATTCAAAAGGCCTTTGAGATATCAACATGAAACTTCAAAGGTGGATAGATCACACTCAGGAGATGTGCAGTGCACAAGAATGATAACTCTTCTCTTCAAAATTTTTGAGTTATTGCTCTTTGTTATTTTCATACTTAATTTTTCACCTGAGTGGAGCATAAGTCAAAAAGCCTTTATTTGCTCACCATAGCCGAAGGCTGAGGGTGAGCTATTAGTATCATAGGGGGATGCTCCGGCGTCCGTCGTCATGCGTCCACAATCGTCTTCTTCTTTGAAACTACAAGGCAGATTTACTTCAAATTTGGTCTGTAGCATCCTTGTGACAGTCACACTTGGATTTGCTCATGTCATTCCAATTGGCCCCTTTTAGGGGTCAGCAGAGCTAAAAATAGAAAAAACCTTTAAACATCTTCTACAGAACTAATTGATGGATGATCACCAAACTTTGTCTGTAGCATTCTTATGTAGTCTTTTATCAAGTTTGCTCATATTAATTTGATTGGCCCCTTTTAGGGGTCACTAGGGCTAAAAATAGAAAAACCTTTAAACATCTTCTTCTACAGAACTAATGGATTGATGATCACCAAACTTTGTCTGTAGTATTCTTGGGAAGTCTTTTATCAAGTTTGGTCATATGAATTTGATTGGCCCCTTTTAGGGGCCGCTTAAGCTAAAAATAGAAATACCTTTAAATGTCTATTTCTACAGAACTAATTGATGGATGATCACCAAACTTTATCTGTAGCATTCTTAAGTAATCTTTTATCAAATTTGCTCATATTATTTTGATTGGCCCCTTTTAGGGGTCACTAGGGCTAAAAATAGAAAAACCTTTAAACATCTTCTTCTACAGAACTAACTGATGGATGATCACCAAACTTTGTTTGTAACATTGTTGGGCAATCTTTTATAAAGTTTGCTCATATGAATTTGATTGGCCCCTTATAGGGGCTGCTTAAGTTAAAATAGAAATACCTTTAAATGTCTATTTCTACAGAACTAATTTATGGCTGATCACCAAACTTTGTCTGTAGCATTCTCGGGTAGTGTTTTATCAAGTTTGCTCATATTAATTTGATTCGCCCCTTTTAGGGCCCACTAAAGCTAAAAATAGAAATACCGTTAAATGTCTATTTCTAGAGAACTAATGGATGGATGATCACCAAACTTTGTCTGTAGCATGTTTGGGTAGTCTTTTATCAAGTTTGCTCATATTAATTTGATTGGCCCCTTTTATGGGCAGCAAAAGCTAAAAATAGAAATACCTTTAAATGTTTATTTCTACAGAACTAATTGATGGATGATCACCAAACTTTGTCTGTAGCATTCTTGGGTAGTCGTTTATCAATTTTGCTCATATGAATTTGATTGGCCCCTTTAAGGGGCAGCTTAAGCTTAAAATAGGAATACCTTTAAATGTCTATTTCTACAGAACTAATTGATATATGATCACCAAACTTTGTATGTAGCATTCTCGGGTAGTGTTTTATCAAGTTTGCTCATATGAATTTGATTGGCCCCTTTCAGGGGCCTCTATAGCTAAAAATAGAAAAAACATTTAGATATCTTTTTACAGAACTAACTGATGGATGATCACCAAACTTTGTCTGTAGCATTCTTAGGTACTCTTTTATCAAGTTTGCTCATATGAATTTGATTAGCCCCTTTTAGAGGCTGCTTAAGCTAAAAATAGAAATACCTTTAAATGTCTATTTCTACAGAACTAATGGATGGATGATCACCAAACTTTGTCTGTAGCATTTTTGGGTAGTCTTTTATCAAGTTTGCTCTTATTAATTTGATAAGCCCCTTTTAGGGGCCGCTTAAATTAAAAATAGAAATAATTTTAAACATTTTCTCCTACAGAACTAATTGATGGATGATCACCAAACTTTGTTTGTAGCATTTTTTGGTAATCTTTTATCAAGTTTGCTCACATAAATTCGATTGGCCCCTTTTCGGGGCCACTCAAGCTAAAAATAGAAAAACCTTCAAACATCTTCTACTTTAAAACCAATTGATGGATGATCACCAAACTTTGTCTGTAGCATTTTTTGGGTACTCTTTTATCAAGTTTGCTTATATTAATTCGATTAGCCCCTTTTAGGGGCCATTAAAGCTAGAAATAGAACAAATCTTCGGACATCATTTCCTACTGAAATAATTGATAGATGATCACCAAACTTTGTAGCATTCTTAGATAGTTTTTAGCTCACCTGAGCAATGCTCAGGGTGAGCTATTGTGATGGCCCTGTGTCCGTCGTCCGTCGTCGTGCGGCGTCAACTTTTAACATAAACAACATCTCCTCTGAAACCAATGACTGCACATCAACCAAACTTTACAGAAATGATCCTTGGGTGGTCCCCTTTCAAAGTTATTCAAATGGTTCCGGTCTGTTGCATATGTAGGTCTTAGGGCCAGAAAAGGATTTCAAAAAACACAAAATTAAAAAATCTTTTTGTCTGAATACAATGGCCAGAGCTATGATTTTTGGTATATGATATCATCTATGGGTCCTCTACCAAAGTTGTTCAAATTTTGTCCCTAGTGTTAAAATTGGCCCCGCTCCGGGGGTCATAGGTTTTTTATGCCCCCGCCATGTAATGGCCGGGGCATATAGTGTTACCCTGTTCCGTCATTCCGTCCTTCCATCCTTCCGTCCTTCCGTCATTCTGTCATTCCGTCATCATCAGTTTCCGTTCATTATCTTAAGAACGGTTGCACACATTCAACTCAAATTTGACATATGGATATGTCATGAGAAAATACAGGTCAAGTTCGAATTTGGTCATGGTTCGATGATTTTTGGCAGAGTTATGCCCCTTTTACTTTGAAAATAATATGAAATTTCAGTTTCCGTTTATTATCTCCCCAATGGTACAACATATTCAACTCAAATTTGACAGATGGATATGTTTTTGGAATGCCCAGGCCAAGTTCGAATTTGGTCATGGTTCAATGATTTTTGGCAGAGTAATGCCCCTTTCACTTTGAAAATAATATGAAATTTACAGTTTCTGTTCATTATCTACCAACAGTGTTACATATTCAACTTAAATTTGACATATGGATATGTCAAAGGAATGGGCAGGTCAAGTTTGAATTTGGTCATGGTTTGATGATTTTTTGGCAGAGTTATGTCCCTTTCACTTTGAAGATAATATAGATACATCTTTAGAATAAGCAGTTTAAGTTTAAATTTGGGCGTGGTTCAATGATTTTAGACAAACTTATCTTTCCTGAATGTTGGAAAAGTTTTGAACTTTCAGTTTCAGCACTCATACTTTTTAGCCATTATTTTGGCTACAAATATGCAATATGCTATTTTTTAAAAGGTTAAGACTGAAATAATTTCAGTGCCTTGAACATTGTATGAAAATGGTTTGTGTTAACATTGAAAAAAAAAAAATGAAAAGAAATTTTAAGGGCTTTGAACTTAAAATAGTAAAACTCTAAAAAATCTCTTCTCTGATTTGCAAGGTTACAGATTAGATATTTGGCATTGAACATTGTGTAGTAGGAGCTCTATCAATTGCTTTCAATAATGGCCCTAGGTCAAAATTGCCCGCGCCCCCGGGGGGTTCATTGATTTTCATAACATACATATAGGAAAACTTAATCTTCTGTCTGAGAGTTCAATGCCTAGAGCTTCCTGATATCTTGGTCTATGTATCATCTGCAGGTCCAATACCAAAGTTGTACAAATTTGTTCCTAGAATTAAAATGGCCCCTTCCCTGCGGGTATAGGCTTTCTCTAATA